GTGGTTTGCGCCGCTTTTTGTCATATTCCAGCAATATCTCGGGGGTGGCCTCACACATTATGCAAATATGGGAAATTGAACCCGGATCCACGAGCGAACGCTTTAACCACTAGCTAAGCAAACCGACCCTCCATGATCAACGAGGACACGTGACCAGAACATAATTTGTTAAACATCAAGCACATTCCTATGGTTGACACGCACCGCCAGATGTTAACGGTGAACGCGCTGATAATGTTGTGAAGCACGTTCACGTGAGTGTGTGGGATGCACGAGCAGTGTGTCCGTGATCTACATGCTATGTAACGGGTCTGTCTACTACAGCCAGACAACACGTACTTACAATAGATCGTCCATACAGGTAAACTGTGAGATTCCTCCGATGATAACGAGTTCCAGTGTACCAACTTGATTTTTATGCATACTATGATTTTGCTTGCTTGGTTCCTCATTTCATTAAATTGCACATACGAATACACATTTGTTTGCATCTCTAATACAAGTGGACGTTGCTTTGCATAGCATTGACTACATGCATAATACGTTGTGTGGTATATGTGCAACATATACAGTATTGCAGTATACATATTACAGTAAGGGCTGGACAGAAGGGGAAATAACATCGGTCTGTGACTGTGATACAGACTGGGACAAGGTATGGAAAACCAACAATTTGGACAACAGACCATTGTTTGGGTCTTTCAATTGTTAATATGATTCAAATGCTTAACCTAACTTTCGATATCCTTCGAATGTACATTTGGTTGAAACTGGAAAATATACATTTATCCCGAGACAAGAACGAATGTTTACATATAATTCAAAAGTATGACAGCACGAGTGTCCATTTTGTCTTTTGTCTTCTACCCGTCCCTACTAGACGAACAACTGGTCTCTGAAATGAACATATTTTACAGGAAAAAAGTTCATAGTAAAAAAAGAGAAATATAATAAAAAGGAGCCCTGAGACATTCTCCTGAAGCTGTGGCAATATAGACTTGCCACATTTTCTAGACTTGCGTGGACTTGGATATATTTGCTTCAGGGTCTGCATGACAGACTACGTCCCTACATACGCTCAATCACAAGTGTCTCCAGGTCACGGAGAATCATTGGTGTAGGGGCTCGTATTGCAATTCTCGTGCGTTTGCATGTGTTGTTGACGCGGCATGGACGCCTTGTAACATCACTATTTGATTATGATTCACAAACACATGCTCATGATATGGTCGGAATCATGCCACGGATTAGCAGATATTTGTCATGAAAACAGGTTTTTATGTAGGTGGCTTTAAACTTGCGTTTACAAAGGCCAATAGATTCGATCACAATACTTTTCGTTTTACAACTTCTTTTCTCTTAACATGCTGACCACAAAACTGATTTAAATTCTAATCGCTGATTAAAGAGTAAGACAATAAATAGTATGCCAAATTATCGTTACCATGACAACTTATTGTCGTTGCTTCAACGCTATCACTAATCACTGGGTATGTATACCATTATATGTGTGATGGAGGAGATCTTGCGTCGCTAGTTTTCTCAATAATCTGAATACATGTATGTAGCGTGAAACCGGCAGATACCAATAGAAGAAAGTGTTTACCCTACCTGTAACAACGATGTCCCTTGTATATAGAAGGGATATAATATGGGGATGAATGGCATGTACTTTTATCTTGGCCCGTTTATGAAGATAAATACTGCGATCTTTCACAATAATATCTCTGGATATCAGATTGAGGGTACTTTTTAAACATAACTGGTATTTCAATTATTGTATTTATACAGCAACATTCTTCAAACGTTCTCCACATACGTCCGTCAGATACATCGCGCACTACCCCTTTCACTTTTGATCTCTCAAACGACTGTTACAAGTTCGGAGAATCCTGGTCAAAGGTGAAACGTCTTAAGACTAGTGAGTGAGTGGTTAATATTTATCATCACATCGGCAATATTTCAGCCATATCGTGACGAGAACATTTTATGAGTGAGTGAGTGAGTTATGATTTAACGTCACATCGGCAATATTTCAGCCATATCGTGACGAGAATACTTGACATTGAAATAGAATATAGAGAGAGATTATAAAATCTGCCGACAAAGGAGAGTAAAGCAACTAAGAATATCACAGATATATATGTAAAACTAGTAATTGAATCTAAAACATTTTAACTATAGGGGACAACACAATATAAAAATGGGCTATAGATCGCCAACAACTGAAGGTAGATCACCATACTAGGAGCCATGGGGACTTACATTACTTTTGCTACCCGCATGGACCCTAGTTGGATTTACACCATCCCTTCAGCCGTTGGCGATTATAAGAAATGTTAGCCAAAATTAAAATAACAAGAATACTACGTTTAAAAATCCTGGTAAGTTAAATTGACTTTCAAAGTTTTGGGACTTACGTACCCTCTCAGGGGGACAATAATTTTACGATACTTCAACCCCCCTTGAGGCGTCTTAAGACTATACCCTACTATTCTGTAACATGCACGTTGTACCTAAAGTGGGTAGAGCTTCCGTTCGGGGGAAGATCAGAAGGACAGCGATACACTTGTCTCCAATGTTGTAGAAGACACTCCACTTACTTAGGAAAACAATAACCCTATGAGATATTGCATTCATGTCGGATTCAATGTTTTCGACCCCTATCAGATGTGAACTTGTACATGCAAGGTCTGAGTCTATGTCAGACTACAGGTCTACGAGTTGTTTAGCAGCACTGGGGCGTAATAGTCATATAGGCCTGCTCCAAAGAACGGAATATATATCTTTTGAGAAGGACTTCTCCGACGGGTAAAGGTACAGCAATGCAACATCACGAAAAATATTGTTTTTTCATTATTTTTCATTTCATGTCTCACAGAATATATAATTTGATGGGCGAGAGTTTTTAATATCGTTCTAACTTAGTCGAATTAAGTCAAAATGAGCTGAAATTTGCGTCATGATGCTTATAAACATACACTCATTCATTTACAACCTCCAAAACATGAATTCTGAGCAAACTTAAACATTCTCGCCCAAGGCCCATGAGCGAGTTTAAATCTAAAGTTTTCCAGTCAGTATGAATATACACCGTCTACCACTCTAAACCCATAGTGAGTTGTTGACAATAGAGCGTACACAGTTCAACCCAAATCGTAGGTCTACAATCGAACCAACTTGAAAGGCGTTAAGCGTGGTCTCGACGTACATTCCGGAGGTCATATATCTGACAGAGCTTTAAACGCTGTGAATAGTTTTCCTTTATCCATACGTATTTCACATACAACATGCTGTATATTTCCTCACAGTCGTTCCTAGTTAGATATATGTATAAAATAGCATCGGAATGGTGATCTATCCGTTGGTCGGGAATAAAAATACCTTCATCACAAGGAATGTCTGGGCTTTTTAATAAAAAAAGATATCGTATATTCAAGCTCTATGACAATGGGTTTCACATTGACAAGTCTGACCCAAGACAAGTAAATGATTTATATAATGAACATCGATCTTTACAAGTGGGTTACGATGGCATGCATCAAGCATTCTACCATGCTTGGTAATCTTGCAGAAGACAAAATCTGATCTCAACTGGCACCACGATAGAGTGAGTGAGTTAAAATTTAACGTCACATCGGCAATGTTGCAGCCATATCGTGACGAGGATTTTTAATAATAAATAAAGTTGTAATAACTACAGTCAAATTATAAAACCCTGTCAACGAATGACAGGAAAATAACTAGAGGATCACAGATATAGATATAAAACTAGAATGAAAGCTAAACACTTTTAACTATAGAAGACAATACACTATTAAAACAGGCTATATATTGCAAACAACTGAAGGTAGATCACAATACCAGGGACCATGCGGACTTACAGAACATTTGCTTCCTGCATGGACCCTAGCTGGGTTTACACCATCCCTTCAGCCACTGGCGATTGTAGGGAAAGTTTAGCCGAATTTTAATAGAACAAAAATACTACGTTTAAAAATCCGGTACGCTTAAATTTCACTTTGAAAGTTTTGGGACTTACGTACCTCTCAGGAGGACAATAAATTTACGATACTTTAACCCCCTTTGAGGGTACAGCCACTAACAATAGCAGTTGCTAATTCATGCTACCATGTTTAAAATATCATTTATCTATTTACCAAAAAATAGTATTCAAAATGTATCTAATAATTCTATTTCCTTTAAAAAATCCATTATTAAATGATAATTAACATTATAAAAAAGATCCTTCAATGTTTTGACATTGCAATATTTATCCCTTGTGATGGAAAATTAAAATGTATGCAGGACATGCCTGACCGTGGGTCTTTCATCACAAGGGATGCTAACCGGAGGATCCTCACCCTTAAGCAAATATTCATGGGTATATCTTGTTGGGCCAATACGACATCAATGACAGCACCTCACAATGACAGTGATTTTCGATTGCCTTCGTCATTGATACAAATCTGATGCAGAAGAAGTGGGGCACCCAAGTAGGTATAAATATATTACATGAAATAAAACCTTATATTGGTTACACCTACTTGGGTTGTCAGTCCAGATTTGAAGAGGTCAGCATAAGTCATCAAGCGACTGCGTTTTGCGAGAGTGAAAACCTGTCTCAGGCATAATTCCAAGGCTTGCTAAATACGAGTTTTATTTCAAACATGAGTGCTAACCTCCTGATCACATATTGTTATTTTTAAATCTTTTTTAGTATTTCTCACAAACCAAACATTGCCCAATTTCCTGGAACATGTGCACTGACAAAGTACCTCACAATGACAGTCATTTTCGATTGCCTTGTCCTTCCTCTTTTGTTATACATCCTGTTATCAGTTATACTGTTTGGTAGTGAAATCCAGCAAAGCCTCTCAAGAAAAAAGTAAATATTACAACATCTAAATATGAGCAACACTGACTGAATCATGTTTTCAAAGTCTGTGCTAACCAACAAACACGATTATCGTTATGTCATATCCTTGTTTGCTTTATCCGGGTGTCGTTGGTGACTACCACGATCACGTCGATGTAGGTTGCATTCGTAGTGCGTGTGTGTTGCAATCTATTTATGTTCTTTTCATTTGAGCGTTCCCTGTTTGGGTGTCCACAAAGGAATCACTTAAACAGGTGTTACAGTTGCATTGTGAGGTGATCTACTCATGTCAGTCTTGCATGATAGCTCTCGACGGCGACAGGACACCAGTATGAACATACTTTGTTTCGTTGGGATCTGTGTTTTGTTATATGGACCGCTGATCTCAGGTGAGAGTGACATTTATATTCGTTCTGACATATATTTTATATGTAAGCTGACAACTTGTCAAAAAACGTATAAACAGGTGGTGCATGTCACAACACTAAATGATTTTATTCTTTAGGCCAAACTACATTGCCTTGTCAATCGCATTACTATAGGATCTAAATTTAGCATTACAAACTACGCGTACGATCAGCACAGGTGACAGAAGTTTTAAATGGCAGACAGACAAGGCACAGATCTTTTCTATTCGAGTCTGTCCCCGGGAAATGTATTGTATGCGGCAATCTCCTTCGTTCAATAGCGCATTTGTAAACTAGAAATTGACGGAACGGCATGTCGCCTATCTAAACAAGATGGCGGACATGATATTGCGTAATGTTAACGTACAGGGCTGATTGTGCTGGGGTCGGTGAAGATGCATAATGATGGGAAATGCATAACTATGTGTGTGTTTAATTATACCAGAAGCCATCTTCTGTCCACGTGCAGCTGATATGTTTCCCTGGAGAGTGAGTGAGTGAGTGAGTTAATATTTAACGTCACCTCGGCAATATTTCAGCCATATCGTGACGAGAACATTTGACAGTAAGAAATAGAATATATATATAGATATTATAAAAACCTGCCGACGAAGGACAGTAAAAATACTAGATAATCACAGATATGAAAATATAAAACTAGCAAACAAAGCTAAAATATTCCTATGAAAGAAGACAATACAATGTAAAAATGGGCTATAGATCGCCAACACCAGAAGGTAGATCACCAAACTAGGGACCATGGGGACTTACAGTACCTTGGCTACCTGCATGGACCCTAATTGGATTTACACCATCCCTTCAGCTGCTGGCGATTGTAAGGAATGTTAGCTACAATTAAAATTACAAGAATGCTACGATTAAAACCTGGTACTCTTAAATTGACTATGAATGTTTTGGGACTTACGTACCCCCTCAGGAGGACAATAATTTTACGCTACGTCAACCCCCTTTGAGGGTACAGCCACTAACAATCTCAGTTACTAATTTAAACTACCAATAATAAAATATTTAACTATTTACAAATCAGTCAACAAATCTAATTTTTAAAAATGCAATAATTAAATGAGGACTGACATTATTAAAAAGATCCTTCAGAGTTTTGGATGTGAAATAGATATCCCTTGAGATGGAATATTCAATGCAGTCAAGCAAGACATGCTTGACTGTGATCCTTTCATCACAAGGGATACAAAACGGAGGATCTTCGCCTTTCAATAAATATTCATGAGTATATCTGGTATGGCCAATGCGACATCGTCGCATAATGACCTCCTCAAATCTGGACTGACAACCCAAGTAGGTGTAACCAATGTAGGGTTTTATTGCATGTAATTTATTAATACCTACTTGGGTGTCCCACTTCTTTTGCATCAGATCACGGATGTAAGATCTAATGCAAGCTTTATAATCAGAGTATGGGAGCAGAAGTGGTGTCACAGATTTGTTGAGGGCTGCCTTAGCAGCAATATCAGCCATCATGTTCCCAGAAATGCCAACGTGGCTGGGTAAGCAACAAAAGACGATGTCGCATTGGCCAGTAGCAAGCTCATTATACAATTCAATAATTTCTAATAAAAGTGGATGTTTGCAAGAAAGATTTTTAATAGCCTGAAGACACGAAAGAGAATCTGAAAAGATGATATATTGTTTATATTTACGGTGTTTATTAATATATTTAAGAGCTGTTAGTATTGCGTTTGCTTCTGCTGTGAAAATTGAACTGTCATTGGGTAGTCTGGAAGATATTGTTTTGGACCCAATGACAGTGGCACAAGCAACCGCGCCACCATCCTTGGATCCATCTGTATATAAGGATTTATAGGTATTATATTTATTTTTTAATTGACTAAATTCTTGTTTATACTGTAAATCATTAGTTTCGGATTTTTAAATGTGGTTAATGTTAAGTCAACGTCTGGCCTCACCAATTGCCAAGGAGGAGAAGAAAGAAGACGAAAAGGAGATATATTCTCCAGCTTAATGCCGGCAGCAGAAAGGAATGGTTTAATTCTGTGCCCCAGAGGCGGAACAAGTGAAGGCTTTTTGTTATATAAATCCTCATAAAGAGGAGTGAAGATGCAGTGAAACGCAGGATTAGACTCGTTAGAATATAGCTTCGTAATATACTGTAATGACAATTTTATACGGCGTTGGGTAAGAGAAGGCTCATCTGCCTCGACGTAGAGACTGTCAACAGGAGATGTTCTGAAGGACCCAAGACAAAGTCTCAGACCTTGATGGTGGACTGAATCTAAGAGTTTTAGGTTGCTTTTGCAGGCTCCACCATAAACGATGGAGCCATAATCAAGCTTCGAGCGGACAAGTGATCTGTAAAGGTGTAGGAGCGTTGCTTGATCCCCTCCCCACCTTGAATTAGACACGACTTTCAATAAATCAAGTGCCTTCAGGCATTTAGTTTTGAGAGATTTGATATGCGGAAGAAAAGTTAAATGGGAGTCGAAAATGAGACCTAAGAACTTGGCCTCTTTTACAACCTTGATGGGAGTGCCATTTAAAAACAGTTCTGGGTCTTTATGTGGTTTATATTTACGGCAGAAGTGTATGCAATTAGTTTTAGATTTAGAAAATTTAAAGCCGTTTTCAAGACACCATTTATGTATTTTATTTAAACACAACTGTAGTTGCCGTTCAATAGTATGCATATTCTTACCGCGACAAGAAATATTAAAATCATCCACAAAAAGTGATCCATCAATGGAATCGTTTAAAACCTTGGATAAACTGTTTATCTTAATGCTAAACAATGTGACAGACAAAATACTGCCTTGCGGGACACCCTGATCCTGATTGTAATGGTCAGACAGGGTTGAACCCACTCGGACTTGGAATTGCCTGTTATTTAAAAAGTTGGATATAAAGTGAGGCAAACGGCCTCGTAATCCAAAGTCATGTAAATCTTTTAAAATCCCATGTTTCCATGTTGTGTCGTATGCTTTTTCTAAATCGAAAAAGATCGACACTGCATGTTGTTTATTAAATATGGCATTTTTCACAAAAGATTCTAAGCGCACCAAATGATCGATGGTACTACGGTTTTTACGGAACCCACATTGTATATTAGTTATAAGGTTATTGGTTTCCAAGTACCAAACAAGTCGATTATTTATCATGCGTTCCATGGTCTTGCAAACACAGCTAGTTAATGAAATTGGCCTATAATTGGAAGGATCAGTATGATCACGTCCAGGTTTAGGGATGGGCACAATTATAGCATCGCGCCACGACGAAGGAAATTGTCCAGATGTCCAAATGACATCAAAATAGATAAGAGCGTCTCTAAACATGATTCAGGTAAGTGTTTCAGGAGTTGATAATGTATACCATCGGCTCCCTGAAGCAGTATCGTGAGCTTGGTCTAGAGCAGTATGAAGCTCATGTATCGAAAAGGTTTCATTGTAGTCTTCCCCATTGTCTGAATTGAAATTAATAGATTTCTTTTCCTGCTGTCTTTGATATTTCTGGAATTCAGGTACATAGTTTGATGAAGAAGAATGTTTGGCCAAAGTTTCTCCAAGTTTATTTGCTATGTCAGATTTATCAGTTAATAATTCATCTCCATTTTTTAGATGCTTAATGCTAGATTTAGAGCCCTTACCTTTTATTTTCTGAATCATGTTCCAAACCTTTGATATTGGCGTGCGCGAATTGATGTTTGAGACATAGTTTCGCCAAGATTGGCGTTTATTTTGTTTATAAGTACGCCGTGCTTTGGCGTTTAAAATTCTAAATTTGTTTAAATTGTGGACCATAGGATGGCGACGGAAATAATGTTCAGCTTTCTTCCGTGCCTTGCGAGCTTGTTTGCATTCAGCGTTAAACCATGGTTTACGTACATGAGGAATTGCAGAGGATTTGGGGATACACTTGTCAGCTATGTGTCTGAGCTCATCTGAAAAACATTTGATGGCATCAGGAAGATCATGAAAAAGTTCAGGTTTGAGTATGTCAGCACAGAAAGTTTCATATAAAGGCCAGTTAGCCTTCTTAAAGTTCCATCTTGATGATGGAGGAACATCAGATGGATTCACTGGTTTGAGAATTGTTGGGAAATGGTCACTTCCACACAGGTCGTCGTGGACTGACCACTCGAATTCACTCAATAAGTCTGAGGTAGTAATCGATAAATCAAGAGCTGAATAAGTTCCTGTGCCAGGATGTAGATATGTGCTAGAACCGTCATTATATATGCATAAATCATTGTCTGAACAAAAGTCTTCTAATAGTTTACCTTTAGCATTAGTTGTTGTACCACCCCAGAGCGGGTTGTGGCCATTTAAATCTCCCATAATGATACAAGGTTTTGGGAGTTGGTCATATAAATTTTGAAGATCAGTCTTCTGAATGACTGAAGATGGTGAGATATACAAAGAACATAATGTGATTGCAACGTGTAAAGTGAGTCGCACTGCAACTGCTTGAAGATTAGAAGTAAGTGTAATAGGGCTATGGATAACATTCTGTTTGACTAGGATTGAAGAACCTCCAGTGGCCCTGTCACCCGGAGGTGAGAAAGAATGATAAGCATTGAAATAACGTAGGTCAAAAGGATCTGTCTGCTTTAAATAAGTCTCCTGCAAACAGAATGCTGACGGCATACAATCCTGGACTAATAACAGTAATTCATTATAATTATGCCGTAGTCCTCTGCAATTCCACTGTACGATGTTGTTCGAATCAACTATCTTTTCGGGGGATTTATTGGGATCTACCCGCACTGTTTTGGAGGGCGACAAGCTTTGTGCCCTAGAATGGACATTTTCGGACACGTCCATGTCCTCAAGTGATCCATATTTGTTGTAAAGGTTAATTTTATTTTCAGACCCTTTTGGAGTTCTGCCACTTTGTTTTTTCGAATAATCAGGCTTAGGTTTATTCTTCCCTTTATTAATGTGATGTACATGAGCTTGCGATGGAGACCTTGTGGTAGACTGAGATGATGT